CCATACGATTTAATTTATTTATCACGCATACTTGGATTGAATGAAATTAAAGCCAAAGCATCAGTATCACACCAATGTAGAAAGCTTCTTCTGAGAGCAGGTATATCTACAACAAAATTATAAACACAAAAAAAAGTTGTAACATAAATTTTTATTATTTAATATTAATTGGTACTATTATACTATCTTGAGCAATTTTTAGAAAGAAGACGAAGAGGGAAAGCAGCATTCATAATTGAAGAAGAAAAAGAAACAATGAATGATATTGAAGATAATGGTGGACTTCCAAAAAAATTGAAACTGTAAATCTGAATCTAATAAAATAAAATTCTACATTTCCAAACAAGTATTTTACTCTTTATAAGAATAAATTACTTTTTATAACAAGTAATTATATTAAAAATTTTACAACAGAAGAGACAAAACTATTATTAAAAAGTAAACTTCTTGTAATCTTACCATTCTCTAAAATAGCGACTCGAAGTTAAAAATAATTTTTCCTTCATTTGTATTTTTTAAAGAAGTTGTTTTTACGAAAAAATGTCTCACATCGATCATTTACAAGTTACAATTATTATATATCCTATATACATTTATATTCTACAAATCGTTAATTAAAAATCCTATATTATAATATAAAGTATACCATACATCATACTTTTTTAGACTGTTAGTAATTTTCCAGAACACCAAGGACATGGGTGGAAATTCGGCTCAAATAAGCACGAATCCTTACAATCTTTTATTTCTGTTAAAATATCTAGTATCTCAGAAACACCGTTTTCGGTTTCGGATTCGTTTATCTTCTTTGCGGAAACAAAGTCGTTAGCACTCATTTCTGAAAGAAATGATATTTATTATGTACAATATACGTATATTCTATTATTATAGGAAATCCATTTTTACACGAATAATGTAAAAAATAAAAACTCAAAATTCTTAAGACAGCATACCTGTTTGTGTTATATGTTCTGTCCCATTAGAATGAATGTATTCTTTTCTAAGGAATTCGCTAACCAAAACCTTCAATTTATGAAGTTGTTCTTGTTGTTGATTTCTTTGATCGAGCAATTGTCGGAATACTTGTTCCTTTTCTCTTGTTCTACTTTTAAGCACTGCTCTCTGCTTCTGATACAATGTTATGTATTCGCCTAAAAAAGTTGTCAAAGTATAGAGAATAAATTCTAACATAAAAGGAGTTAATTTTTTTTCTCTAGGAGCATGTACCTATTGTTTCTGTTTCACTTTGTAATTGTAACACAAGATGTTCAAGCTTTTGTTTCTCTTCTGTAAGTTCAGCCACTCGTTCCATTGTCTGTTTGAATCTTTCTTCCAATTGTTTTATAGGTTCGGATACTACTATATCATGTACTAATTTTTCCGAATTTGTTTGTTCGATCAAGTCAGAGACATTGGCATTTACAGTACTCGAGTCTTCTTCAGAAGAAGTATTGACTTGTGGTTTTTCTTTTATCATCTCCATAAGAGCTTTCTTCTCTTTTTCCAATTTTTCAATGGTGATCTAAGAGAAAAATATTAATTAAAAGTTAAGAAAGATTTTACGATAATATATGCGACAAATAGTTATTTACCAACGCATTCTGTAGCTCTCGTTGAAAAATATCAGCATGATGAGATTGTGCTTGATAGTGCTGCATCTGATCAGCTATCTGAGCACTTTGAAGTCTTTCTTTTTCAAGTTCTTCAAGTACAGATTCTTTTTCTTTTAACTTCTCCTTGAATTGGTCTAACTCAGTTTCAACATTACTTAACTGGACATTTAATTTTCGTCCAATCGAACGCTCTGCTTGAAGTTGTTCCGTCAAGTCCAACTTTGCATTACTCTTAAAAATTCAATTACTTTCATAATTTCTATATTTTTTAAAATAAAGTTACGAACTTAATTGATAATTCAGTTATCAAGGTAAACTTACTAGGGAAACAAAAGCATTCTCCATATCAGTCAATTGTTCTTTTAACTGTCGATTTTGATGAAGTGCTCTAGATGCTCCTAACTGTTCGCTTTCAAGAGCGGTAACTAATTTTGTTACTTCAGCTTCATTATTACCTGTTTCACGTAAGTCATTTATGTCTTTCGTTAACATTTCAATTTGTGAATCCTAAATAAAAAAACGTGTTAATCAAACTTTTATAACAAACATTTTATTAAAATATTTATAAATATAGCTGACCTTTTCAGAAAGTGTAATATGTAGTCTTTCTTGTTCTAAAGTAAGCTCATCTATACTTTTTAGAAGATTATTCATTTCATTTTGACAATCTTGTAAAGGCAATAGATTTTCTAGTTTCTCCCTTTCTTTTTGCAACTGTTGCTCCAGTTCGGACAATCTTTGTACATAACTCTGTTCTCTGGATTGTAAATTTTCTATAGTTCTATTTTGTTTCTGAATCTAAAAAAATACAATAAGTACTTTAGTGATCAAATTAGTTACATTTCATTCTAAAACATACCTCTTCTACTAATTTATCGTGTTGCGTATCTAATTGTTTCACATAATTCTCATATTGTTTAACAGTTTCATCTTTTTCAATGTTTACAACATTTAGAGACTCTTTGACATGTGCAAGTTCTTGTTCTAAAACATTTGCTGCATACTTTTCTTCTTCTGTAGGTATAGCACCTGTCATCTACAAAAAAAGGTAAAAAGGTAGTTTTATTCTATTTCTATTAATAATGCAACTATATCATAAGTTACAGTTTTT